TGGAAGAGAAGCATCTGATAGAAACAGGGAGAGCAGAGGTCCAGCAAGGACGCACCCTCAGAGACATTCAGGGTGCCCAAGGGGGAGTAGAGAGGGAGAGACAGACCCTAGTCTGGAGTCCTGGCCATCCCCCAAGGCAGGCTGGGTAGCATTGGGGCTGGTAAGGTGGAGGCAGGTGAAGTGGGGGCTGCCCACAGACAGACCTGCAGACCATGGTCGGGAGCCTGGCGACATCCTAAGCAGAAAAGGAACTCAGGAAACAATAGAGCCTGGGCCAGCGAGAGGGTTCAGTGGGTAAAGGCTCCTCTACCAAGCCCCACAACCTGAACTTGACAGAGGGGAGCAAACAACTCCTGACCTGCGCGTGCGCAAACATATAAGCATGCATGTTCATGCACACACACACACACACACACACACACACACAAGGATGCACACCCCTCATGCTCAGCCACACGGACAGACACACCACATACAAAATAAATAAATAAAATGATATAATTAAAAATAAATAAAAGGAGGCTGTAGAGACGGCTCAGCTATGTAGCTTACGCAGGGTTCTTGCATAGGCGCTGTATATATTTCACACCCAGCACCCACACTGGACAGCTCATAACCACCTGTAACTCCAGTTGCAGGGATCAAACATCCTCTTCTGACCTCCATAGGCTCCTGCACACACACAGTACACATACACTCAAGCTGGCTCACACACATATGCATGTAAAGTAAATAAATCCAATAAATAAATAAGAGACTAGAGCCCAGATTTTCAGATTCTAGGGGCCCAGGGTTTGATTTAGGATTCAGTTTCTGATCCTTCCCCTCCTATATGTCCTTCATCAAAGAATGGTCTTGGGGCTGAGGCCACCTGGTAACCAGGCATCAGCAGCATCCCTGGGGTCAGCTGCTGGCTCCCTTGGGCTCTTTCCTACTCCCATGTCCAACTTCAGGCTGCCTCACAGACCAGGAAGGCGTCCACTGCCCCCTGGTGGTAGCTTGGTCTGGCCACAGAAGGGCTGTAACTAGGGTCAAAGGGCAGGGGCCTGGAGGTGCAGCTTCTCTGGAGGTCACCTTCTCAGACCCCAGTGTGGGAGCGGGTCCATGCACAGGTACACACTTCAGCCGCAGGCTTCCTTTCCTCCCCCGAAGAACGAACTCCTGCATGTCCACCACTGCTGTCTCGCCCTGGGCTCCTCCAGCTAGTCATCCACACCACTGCAAAGCCTCCCAGCAGCTTGTCCCTCTGATCCATGGCTCTAGTGTCTGCACAGAAGCAATGGCAATCTTTTAAACAGTTATGATTTCAGTAGATATTCTATACAGTAAAGCACGGCTCTTAGGAGCACAGTTCACCTCAGATCGCACCATTGCTCCAAAGTTATCAGCTGGGGAACAGTGAGGAGAGGACCCCTTCACGTCTCTCAGCTTTCTTCCGTCCACAAAGGGAGGTGAAGGGGTGCTCTGTCACGGGGTGTCCACTGACACGTGGATCTAGCGCTCATCCATTCTTCAGGTGTTCATCTGGGCCTGCTCATAAAGTCATCACAGAGGGGGCCCTCACTCCCAACCAGCTGGGTGCAATTCTGCTCTGTTGCACTTGGCCTTGGGGAGGGACTAAGGTGCATGGGCACGGAGGAACTAGGAGGGCACTTCATCTCTGTGGCTATGGGAAAACCACACATGCTGGGCAAAGCAGTTCTACCGAGGCCTTTTTGTCAGGGAGGACCACCACACTCAAATGTATTCTGTAAGTAAGCCAGATAGATTCATCAGTGGTGCCCAGGGGGAGCTTTGGTGGCATCACACCTTGGTTTGTCATTGGGACCTTGAGGGGAGGGAGCCATCACTTTGGAGTTTTGTTTTGTTTTTGTTTTTGTTTTTTTGGGTTTTTTTTTTTTTTT